CTGCCACTACAGTCGGCATCACAGAAAAAATGTTGACAAAAATATTAGAACAACTCTCTAATAAAAAAATTGAAATTGATACCGGAAAAAACTTAAGAAAGTTGTCAGACAAAGAACCCCGCACTAATCATATGGAAAATCTGTCCCGGTCAAATCAATTGGTTTTTACATATGTTGTAGCTTATGACCTACTGAACAAAAGATGTAATGGGCACAAAGCTCATGTAGCAGTAGGGATGAGTCGCCTGACGGCTCTGGCTGTACAAATCGAGCGCTTTACACATAACTCTACGCTCATAACCAGAGATGGTAAATCGTGTATATTAGTTCTCGGAAAAATTTACAAATAAAAACTCAAGCGGAACTCAATGGATGGAACTTTTTGAAAGGGAATGCAACAGATTGGGTGTACAAAAAGATGAAGAAAAAATTGAAATCCTTAGACTATTCTTAGAAGGATCATGTTTAGATTGGTACAGCTCCATGCTCATAAAGCTCACACTGGATTCAGCGTGGGAAACCTGGAAGGAAAATTTTCATGAGACTTACGCGGATAAAGGATGGACCCCAGTAAAGTATGCAATCTCATTTAAATACATAAATGGACCACTATTGGATTACGCACTAAAAAAAGAAAGAATTTTGCTGGAAATGAATAAATCAATGGATAAAAGCACTTTAATTGATTTGATTGCGATAGGGTTACCAGATTTCGTGACAAATAAAATCAGTAGAGAAAAGTTAAAAGAAACTGAAAACCTTTTTAACGAACTAAGAAGTCTGGAGCACTTAGTAAGAAAGAATACTTATGAGAAAAAGAAATACACAAACCAAAACCTAAAAGAGAAAAATCAAGAAAAAACACCATGTAAGATATGTGAAAAAATTGGTAAGAAAAACCGCTATCACCCTGAACATGCGTGTTGGTTTAGAACCAAGGAAAAAGATGAAGCAGACAAGAAAAACCAAATAAGATATGTTGACAGCTCTGAAATAGAAGCCGAACTAAATGATATAGATAAAAAAAACTAGAAACCCCACCATTAATCAAGATAAAACTACTGCTGCACAATACGGTAGAAACATCCGGGGTATATGACTCTGGTTCAAATGTCTCTCTGATAAACGCTAGATTGCTAAAATTGAAAAATAAAAAAATTAGTACACAGAATACGAATCTTCGGACGATTAATGGTGAAAAGAAGACGAAGGGGATAGTTAGAATGAATGTTCAAATTTTTAAAATGGAAGAGGAAACTGACCTATTGGTGATAGATGAAGAGAATTTTGATTACGACGTCTTAATTGGATTAGACATGATAAAAAAATTTAAATTAACCCAAGACGAAAATCTGAAAATCACACAGAAAATACCTGACCGAGAAGAGGAGAAGTATAAAGACAATAATAAGGCTAAAAGTGAAGGAAAATGTTGGAAAAAATACTCAATAAATTTTAACGAACATGTAGAACAAAAAAATTTCAAAATACAAGTAAATCTGTTGGACTATCAGAAAAAAGAAGAAATAGATAGACTGATAGAAAAATACAAGACAGTTTTTGCAAAAGACAAATACGACATAGGTACGGTGAAAGAATATGAAGCCCATATCGACTTGTTGATCGACAAATATTGTAGCAAGAAGCCGTACAGGTGTACCATAGAAGATAAAAAAGAAATTGAGGAACAAATCGAAAAACTATTAGAGAAAAACCTTATAGAGGAATCATATAGCCCGTTTGCAGCACCAGTAACACTGGCATTTAAAAAAGAAGAAAGTCGAGATTATGTATAGACTTTAGGGATCTAAATAAAATTGTGGTGCCCCAAGCTCAACCTTTCCCACTAATAAAGGATTTAATGATAAAAACGAGCAATTGCAAATATTTTTCAACATTAGACATAAACTCAGCCTTCTGGTCGATCCCACTACGGATCGAAGATAAGAAAAAGACAGGTTTCGTGACACAAGAAGGACACTTCCAATGGACGTGCCTACCATTCGGATTAAAAACCGCACCAGCAATATTCCAAAGGATACTAAGCAATATTTTAAGAAAATATAAATTCACCGATTTCGTAGTAAATTACATAGATGACATTTTAATATTCTCAAAATCCTTCGCTGAACATATGGACCATTTATGCAAATTACTGGAAGCAATAGTAAAAGAAGGTTTTAGATTAAAATTCACAAAATGTACATTTGCAGAAAACTCGGTGAAATATTTGGGACACATCATACAAAACAATACTGTAAGACCAGTGAAAGATAATTTGATATCAATTAGAAATTTCCCGGTTCCAAACACACAAAGAAATATCAGACAGTTTCTAGGAAAAATAAACTTTTACCACGAATACATACCAAAAAGTGCAACAATACTAGACCCATTACACAATTTATTAAGGAAAGGCATAAGCTTCAAATGGTCAGAAGAATGTCAAAAATCATTCAACGAAATTAAGGATCTGCTATGCTCTCAACCGATCTTAGCAATATTTGATGAAAATCTACCAATAAACATCTACACAGATGCATCATTACAAGGACTGGGAGCGGTCCTAAAACAGATACAACCAGACGGAAAAAAAAAACCGGTGGCCTATTTTTCAAAAAAATTAAATGACACCCAAAAAAGAAAGAAAGCAATTTATTTGGAATGCTGGGCAATAAAAGAAGCAGTAAGATATTGGCAATACTGGCTCATGAATAAACCATTTACAGTATTTTCGGACCATAAACCACTGGAAAACATGAATATCAAATCTAGAACGGATGAAGACTTAGGAGATTTAACGTACTACCTTTCACAATATGATTTTCAAATAAAATACGCCCGAAGAAAAAGCAACCTGGAAGCAGACTGTCTAAGTAGGAACCCGGTACTGGAATCATATGAAAATATGGATGAACAATTGAAAATTGTAAACTGCATAAGACTAAAAGATATTGTAACAAATCAGGAAAAAACGAAGACATATAACACAGGAAGGACAAACTAATACTAAAACAAGATGTTTACTACAAGAAAGTTAAGAAGAAAGAAAAAATAATCTTATCAGAGAAGTTCAGCATGGAATTTATAAAAAAGATACATGAAAACCTATGTCATATAGGAATCAGACAGATGCAAAAGAAAATAGGAGCATTCTATGCAGCAAAGAATATAACAAAGAACATAAAAAGAATCTGTAAAAGTTGTACAGTGTGCAAAAGAAATAAATCAAGAGGACAAAACAAAGTTGGCTTGATGTCTCACTTAGGCCCGGCCAAAAAGCCTTTCCAAATAGTCTCTATAGACACAATTGGAGGCTTTGGAGGTTCACGGTCCACAAAGAAATATATACACCTACTAGTAGATCACTATACAAAGTACGCGTACATTCTGACATCAAGAACACAAAACGCAAATGATTTTATAAAACTAGTAAAAAACATTACAGAAACTAATGAGATTGGTATGATCCTCGCGGACCAATACCCAGGAATTAATTCGGAAAAATTCAAAGAATTTCTGGAAGAAAAGAGTATACCAATGATTTTCACAGCAGTAAATGCACCGTTCTCGAACGGATTAAATGAAAGATTAAATCAAACAATCGTCAATAAAATTAGATGCAAAATAAACGAAAAAGAAAAGAAAATAGCGTGTACAACCATAGCACGAGAATGCATAAGAAAATATAACGAAACGGAACACACGGTCACTGAATTTGCTCCAGCATACTTTTAGAGGGCACAGATGTTACAATACTGCCAAACGAATTAAAACAAAAAAATGCAAAAGAGGACTGGATACGAGACAGAAAGAGGGCACTGGAAAACACTATAAAATCCCATGAATATAACAAAGAAATATACGACAAAAATCGAAAACACTTTGAATTCAATGTAGGAAACATGGTATTGGTAGAAAATGGAAACAAACTGAACAGGAAAAAGCTGGACGAATTGAAGATTGGACCATACCAAATTATAGAAAAATATCAAACTTGATATTCAAAATCAACACCGGCTACAGAAGATCAAAACCACATCTTTTCCACATCTCGAAACTGACTCCAATCCCAAGATTAGAAGAAGAAGAAGAGGGAAAATGAAAAAGGAAGGAATCATATATTTAAAGAAAATTTTACGGTGAATTTTCTTCCTCGCGGGGGGGGGGGAGATGTAAAGAAAATGAGTTTCTTTAAGTTAAATTTTGCCGCGCACCTCTGGGCGCGGGTAAAGTAGAGACCATGCTGTACAGCGGAGAAAGATGAAAAAGAAAAGGAGTGTTAGCGAAAACTGAGGCGAGACAGGTTACCTGATAGAAAAACGATTAAGTGTTAGACAGAAAGGATTTACTATAAAAAAATAAACTTCAATTGTCGTTTCTTTGTTTTACAGGTAAGAATATGGATGTAAATAACGTAAATAGGTGTGCAAATAATAAACCTCCCTTTGTTTTACAGAGCAACGCAATCTGTTCGTCATTATAGTCAATCCCTAACCAAAATAAAAGAGGTATAATACGAATCACATTATAAAACAACAATTTTGTTTAGTATGAAAACGAAAAAATTAAAATTCGGATTTGTGGTGAAAGCAGACGCAGATGGAAAGACAAATTAGTTGGCACTAACCTCAATTACTACACCTGAGGAAAAGCTTATACGATCCCAGAACAATACCAGCCAGTGGGACAACACACAGAATTAACAAAGACTAACACTTATAAGAAAATAAAAACCACATTACAAAAAAGACACCAGACAAGAAAAGTCTGGATCAATCTAAATGAAGAACTATCAAACACTTATATAGATGAAGATGGAAATTTGCAATTTAAAGAATATTTCTTGGAAGAGACGACATCAGAGCCAAAGCCTGAAAAACAAGCTGCCACTACAGTCGGCATCACAGAAAAAATGTTGACAAAAATATTAGAACAACTCTCTAATAAAAAAATTGAAATTGATACCGGAAAAAACTTAAGAAAGTTGTCAGACAAAGAACCCCGCACTAATCATATGGAAAATCTGTCCCGGTCAAATCAATTGGTTTTTACATATGTTGTAGCTTATGACCTACTGAACAAAAGATGTAATGGGCACAAAGCTCAATAATGGACAGTTATCGAGTTATAACCAGTCAAACATGAAAAATTCGGACTGCCGAATAGTCAAATCTCGGAAGGTATTGATTTTTTTGAAAAATGTTTGAAACAAACACACACACACATAGTAGGGTTTTACAAAATCTGTTAGTTGGTGACATTATTTGTGAATTTTGAATGACCTTGAAAAGCTCCGTCAACAAAAATCTTCCACAAAAATGCCTATTTTTTATTATATTCGTGTAGCTAAATTCGAGACGTTTTCAAAATATTTTTGATGAACCTTTTTTCTACTAAAACTTCTTGAGAACTAATATACACGATTTACCATCTCTGGTTATGAGATTTGACTATTGGTACATTTCAGGTTCGTCTAGCAAGATCTTATATTCAAGATAAGATGCAGCGTGATGCACAAGAAGAATTTCAATTGGATTCGTTGTTTGATGAACAAGGTTTCATAAGGGTGCGAGTGTTTTCACGATTCCGTAATGCTACAAAACATCAAATATTTATAGCTTACAACATAAGAGATGCAGATAATATAGATGATGAGAGGGAGGCGATTTTTGGTTATTACTGCACCTGTAAGTCAGGCGCACGGACTGTGGGTACATGTGCACATGTAACCAGCGTATTGTGATATTTAGGATATGCACGACACCAGCCCAATGTTCGTTATCCCTCTTCATCATTATTGAACACAATATTAGATGCCGCTCAGAGACCACCACAGCAGGATCCAAATAATGAGTAATATACAATAAGATCATTTATTTTATTACCCCACACATACACACACAGCAGAGAGGGTTTGGAGTCAAAAAATACTACGGGAGTGACGAACCGTGGGGTCCTTATCTCTGCTGTGACACATAAAGATTTTTGTTCACGGAGCTTTTCAAGGTCATTCAAAATTCACAAATAATGTCACCAACTAACAGATTTTGTAAAACCCTACTATGTTTGTTTCAAACATTTTTCAAAAAAATCAATACCTTCCGAGATTTGACTATTCGGCAGCCCGAATTTTTCATGTTTGACTGGTTATAACTCGATAACTGTCCATTATTGAGCTTTGTGCCCATTACATCTTTTGTTCAGTAGGTCATAAGCTACAACATATGTAAAAACCAATTGATTTGACCGGGACAGATTTTCCATATAATTAGTGCGGGGTTCTTTAAAAGAATGTTATAATAAATGAAAGTAAGTGTAAAATAATTATGTTTCATAATTATTTAGAGGGGATTTTATAATCAAGTTTCTGGAAATTTAGTTTCTTTAATACAAATGTAAATAAACAAATTTTATTTGCTTATTATATTTAAATTATTTCCCGTAATTAATTTATATACATGGTGGCCCACGTAAAGTGTTACAAGCTAATAATTCTAAAAATATTTGTCAAATCAAAAAATTGTTCATGTTATATATATATATTTTACGGCTAGTTTTCTACATTGGTCGTAGTAACGGCCCTGCCGTTACAGTTTATATTAAGGTAATTGTTTCGAATAAGGCCTTTTCTGAATTTTGAGAAATATGATCGGATCTCTCGGTAAAACTCTTTGTTGTGACCCCAACAGTGATAATCAGTCGGGGGAGCCCGACCCCCTTCACCCCCTCCCCCCAAAAAACGAAAAATCCTAAAAATTACCCAAAATTAGATAATTACTTATTTCTGATTTAAAACTAAAATTTGGTTTGGTTTAGGTTATATCATCCGGAAGTGAAGCCCCCCCCCGTAGAGGGGGCGGAACCCACTGCATCCACGCATACACTTTCTCATTCACACAACAATCGTGGAGTGGATCTCGCTTTGCTTTGTAAAATATATGCGTGGACACAGTGGGTGCCGTCCCCCCCCTACGGGGAGGCTCCACTTCCGGAAGATATAACCTAACCCAAACCAAATTTTAGTATTAAATCAGGAATAGGTTTGGGTTAGGTTATATTTTCCGGAAGTGGAGCCCCCCCGTATGGGGGGCGGAACCCATTGTGTCCACACATATACTTTACAAAGCAAAGCGAGGTCCACCCCAAAATTGTTGTGTGGATGGAAAAGTGTATGTGCGGACGCAGTGGGTTCCGCCCTCCGTAGGGGGGGCTTCACTTCCGGAAGATATAACCTAACCCAAACCTATTGCTGATTTAAAACTAAAATTTAGTTTAGTTGTGGAGTGGACTTTATAGTACATAATTACCTAATTTTCAGTAATTTTGGGGGTTTTTCGTTCTTTTGGGGGGGTGGGGGCGATGGGGGTCGGGCTCTCCCGACTGATTATTACTGTTGGGGTCACAACAAAGAGTTTTACCGAGAGATCCAATCATATTTCTCAAAATTCAGAAAAGGTCTTATTCGAAACAATTACGGTAAATGTTCAGATTAACTTACACCTCACGGATCATTTTCATTTTTACATATATTATAGAGGGCACATTCCTAAGTAACACGCACTTTGAATTTTGTGGCGCTCTCTTCTGGTTTCAGAGAAATGCGATTTTGAAGTATCATAATTTTCGCATTTATTTCTATGATCTTTTCACTATATCTTACTTGCGTGTTTATGTTTTTTTGTTTACATTTGCGTCACTGTCAGTATATTTTCGCTAAGAATTTCTTTTGTTTACATTTAGAGTTGTTTTTATGTTACTGCTAGTACGCTTCAGAATCGTACACTTGTTCACAATT